TGTGGTGCTGGGGGATTGAACCGTGGTCCCTGTGCTTTGCTAAGCTTGTTCTAAGTAGGTGCTTTAGACCACTGAGCCATCTCACCAGCCCCCAAGAAGGGTTTTCTTAAGTCAGGCATTTTATTTTATGGTGCAGCAGGATCCACACACCTGTTGAATAATTAGGACAGTGGGACTTGGTATAGTCCAATAACTAAAATCCATTTGACTTTTACTGGAATTCAAGAAGTTCCCCCAATTTTGATAGTAAATTTGTTTCTAGCAAGAAAGTAGGACACTGTGGGACAAATGGAAATTCATGGTTAAACATTTGGCCTTCAAAGTGACACATCAGCACTGGAAAAGAATATTTGAGTAGGGGTGCCCTCAATCCCAGCTATGGCTATAGATCTAGAGGAAGATTTTCTAGAATAGAATGAAGTAATTGAATTGACTCACCCATGATGTCCTATGTTTCCAAGATTCCTCCTAGGGGACAGTAATATCTGTGGACAGGAGCATTGTCAGTTCCCTTGTTTCTTTAAAAAACAAAAACATACAAAACATCATTAGGGTTGTTTTTTATTTTTTAATTTTTTTGTATTTTAGTACAGAGTCTACAGGGTCTATTACATAGATCGGACTTGTAGTGATCTTCTTGTGTTCAGCCTCCCAAGAGCTGGGATTACAGGCGTACACCACCACACCCAGTCTCAATTGCCATTTCAGCACACCCTGAGGGCAGGATGGGGATTGAACCTTGGCCTTTGTGTCTGCCTAAGCAGGTGTTTTAGCAGGTGCTTTAATCCACTGAGCTATTTGGCCGATCCCACCATTAGGGTTTTGATAAGAAACTAAATCTGTCATTTCTTTGCACCTATTAGTCTGTTTGTACTGCTATAACAAAATAGCTGAGACTGAATAATTCATAAAGAAGAAAAATTTGTTTTCTCAGTTTTGACAGCTGGAAAGTCCAAGACCAAGGTACTAGAAGTTTTGATGTCTTGTGAGAGGTGCTTTTTGCTTCTAAGATGATACCTGAGTGTGCTAGAGATGGTGAATGAAATGGCTTCATATTGTTCTTAATACATTCCCTCAAGACTTTTTTAAGGATTCTAATTCCATCCATGGGCTCCCACTTATGATTTAATCAACTCTTAAATGCACCATCTGTGAATACTATCTTTGTCTATTAAATTTCAGTGCATGACTTTTTTTTTTTTTAAGTATTACAAATAGTTTTTAATGGCAGTTTCCTCTCATTATTTTAATCTTTTGTATTCTGTAATTTAAGCCCAACCCTAAAACATTATGAAAATTAGAATACAACCTAATTCACCAGTCACATTCAGAACATCCTGAATGCCGTATTCTTTCATAATTCAGCTTTATAGTTTAACGGACACTGTAATATGGCACCTCATACCTGACATCTTACACTTAAAATTTGGCTCGCATTTTTTATATCACTTAGGTTACCCTGT